AACTGGCTGAAACGCTATACACAAACTAACACACCAGACGAGGAAGATATTCCGAAAAGTATTCCATCCGTGATATGAATACCTCGTCTAAATTGTTTGGTGTAACTATGGCTCTAACCAATTTCATTCACTGCTCAATAAAATGATATTGGTGTAATGTCTATATTACCAAACCTGAGTAACCATGTTACACTTGATGACTTCAAATAACTGAAAATCCTGATACTCGGTGAAAACGAAATTAAAAAACCGGGGGCGCTTCGGCCTATGCGATGGGAGTGGGCTCAACTCCTTGCAAAAAATTTGCCTCAGTGATGTTCAGTGTAGGTTGCGAAAAGGTGCTCGCCTTGCTATAACACTTTGCGGAAGGGGTCCTCGCTTCATAATCTACTATGCGATTTGCGAACAGGCGTTCGCTTTGTACCTCCAAGGTGATCTACGGATCAGTTGGTGCTGAATACTGTTGATAATGTCACACGCCTTTTGTCAAGTTAGCCAGACAATCACAGTTCATTCCCCTGCAAGTTCTTTTGATCTTAATATGCTAATCGGTGAACCTTCGGTGGATCCACCACCATTTTGGACATAAAGAAAGCAGTAAGCTCAAAAGACCAGCAAAAAAAAAAACGGGACCCCAGCAAAAACCTAGGGTTTTGGGGCAAATGAAAAAGCCCTAGGCAGCTGACAACCCTGACAAGAACCGCAACAGCTACGCACGCGTTCCCCAGATTTGACGTCTGGTCAACAGTCTAGAGGAACACCTATTATCTATCAGTAAGCAAGCGACGATGTCTGGGACGGGCTCATCCGTAATGGAAAATGATAGCTTAGCAGGCTCATGTGCAATAGAAAATGATAGCTCAGCAATAGTATAAAAAACAATAGAAATAGAAATCGAAAGGGCTTTGAAATGATCTTCGCAGTCCATTCGACAATAACAAGTCCAAAGGTAACCAGGCACAACGCATGACTCTACAAATACATGCGAATGCAAATAGTCGATAATGAGATAAGAGACCTGCAAACGAACACGTTGGAAATATGATGTCCTGAAATTCCGAACACATAAATTCAGACGCATGTCCGGTGGTTTCACAGACAGGTCGTTGCTCTGCGGAAGACCTCACCGACGCTTCATTTTGCGGCGCCTAGTTTGAGAAACAGGTCCGATTGTCTATCTGATGTTTTAGCCGCTTATCCAGTCAGACCTTTTCCTCCATTTCTTGTACCTCTGAGGACTATTTGTATTTGGGCTTTCATCCATTTTGACCATCTCCGCTGACTCGTGTATCCTGACTTTTAGTCGTTTCACCTCTCCCCACTTTTCGAGGTATTCCAATTTAACATCCTAATCTTCAATTAAGTCCACCCATTTCCATTGGATGGCTTTCTGGGTGCAAAACTCACAGTGAGCAATGCTTGCTGTGTGAAACCTAACCCGACCATCCGATTGTGAAATAAAAGTTCAACGACAAAATTTTGTGGCGAAATTTCGCGTGCCGCAATGCTGGGCACCACCCGTCCCGACCTCTGACCTAAGTTGACCTTGAGTGTCTGCTACCACCGGCCACAGGCCATCCTAGTCAGGGTAAAATAGCGAGCGCCGAAGCGACTCGCAGCCAACCACCCCGTCGCGGGTAGGTTGGAGACAGCGCTCCAACCGATCGAGGAACGGGGTCGGCCAAAATTTTGTCTGGATTTGTTTCCGACTTCTCCCGACTGGAAATGTTTCCGACCTTTGGGGCCGTCCATATCGTACATTACGGAAGGAGCGGGAGGGGAGGTTTGATGGAGTGTAATGAAAGCGCAAAAAGGGGAGGGGGCCTTGCACAGCCTTACGCTCAGCTAAGATTATAATTCCGGAGTCCTTTTTAAAATCGTTATCAAGCCGGATAAAGTTTGCTCCCTATCACGACAAGCAACACGCGCGTGTTTGTCTCCAAACCCTAGCTCAATTAGCTGACTTTTAGGCGCGCAAGTTGTGACGTGAAGTAAGTTAGGACATTATGTGCCACTGGACGACTGAGATGATCAAAGGGGGATGCTGTTCCACATGTAAAGGATACCAAAACGTAAGTGCGTGCAGGTATTAGGGAGCCATGCAAATGGCACAAGTGCATTGTATCACGCAACTGAGAGAGCGTGTTCCAGAGCGCCCGTTTTTGACTTCCGCTGACCATGGACAAATATCTTCACGGTCGGTAGAAGGGCCACGGGCAGCCCAGTGACCTCGAGGGTCACTGAACCAGGTCGCGTGGTCAGACATGGGGCTTCAGGACGCACGCAACAGAGGCTGTATCACGTTGCCCGCCTCTCACGCTTGCAAAGAGGGTAAGCACGGCGAGAAACCCAGCCCCGTACTTCTGGTTTCTCCGACGCGCAGTGAAACCACTGCGTTATCGACACGCTAATCGCCATGGAGTCACTTGCCGTTCGATGGAATACATGTTTCTTTTGTCCTCGAGATAGCTGTGTGAAGCAGTTTTTCAAGAAGTACAAAAACCAAGGATATCAGAGAGCTTGTTTAAGCCTGTTACCGATACGCGACCATCACTCATGTACAGCATTCGCGCAGGAACATTGGTAGGTGGCGTTCCCATCTCCCCTGACGTGGATCTGACTTTCTTCGTGTGCCCGATGAATGATATAGTTATTTTGTCTCAATTTTCATATAACTCTATCGTATTTGTGCAGATTCCTGCCATATACACAGCACAAACCCCACGGTAAATCTCCACCACTATTAAGAGGGTACAACCTTCTGTGAGTGCACACCAAATATGTCATGTATCCAAATCTTATCGTCTTCGTCGACAGTTAGTGGCTGTTCTTGGTTAAGCCGTTTGCCCTTGCCATGTTTCTCAAGGGTCTTCATTTTTGTAACTTTCGAAGACTGCGAGTGTCGAACACACAATCTGAGAGCCGGACAGATTCGGTAAGCTTTTTCCTCCTGGTTGTGTTGGCACGGGTAGTTGTTCCAATAAGTAGATAATACATCACTTTCACAGACCCTGGCTCTAAATCCTTGCGATCATTCTCAACCCTTCATGTCCTTGGAAAACTTTTCTAAAAGAATGTCAAGACAACCGACCCAATTTGTTCAATAAGCGTCTGTGCTCATTCTTAAAACTTCACTAAAAAGCTTTCTTACCCACGAAACGACTCTGCTTTTGTTTGCTTTGATTGGTTTTCCTGGGTACGAATGCACGAATGTAGGCAGCGATGTGTTTGTTCTTTGTTACCCATTTCTTTTCATTTCAGTTTTCCTCTAAATCGTCTGTCTATTAAACACTCTAATCAATCTCAACTTCAGCCTCAGAGCATAATAATCTAAGCCCAGATAAAAGAGCCCAGGTAAATATTGATTCTTTTTCCATGTCACTAGAACGACGTGCTTAGCTTGCTACACGCTAGATCGCCATTGCAAGGCTTCGAGATGCCGTCTCTGTTCATGACAACCTTCCACCGTTGGTCTCATATTCCTAAGCAGCGATTTGCAGGCTTTGCGCCTGCGACCGAAGTATTATGAAAACCAGCATGTCCTTGTCAAATGTTGAACCCCATACACAGAACTATACGTCCGCGCAGTTTGCACGACTCGATCCCCGCCGGTTTTGGCCAGTGTTTTGCATTGCAACTTAATCAAACACCTTGCATTTAAACCCCACGGCAATACTTCAGCAGTTTCCAAAGATGCTTGTTAACTGCTGCTGAAATGTGCACCGTGGAGGCTTGTGATTCCCAAAACATGATCCCGTCAGAAGCGTGACTGACCGGGTCGCTGAGGCTGCAAAAAATCCAGTTCGGTGACGTTAGACTCGCTCGGCCTGCAGCCCCGAGTGGAGCCATTACCAGCGCTGGTAATAGTGGGAGCCGATATTTCTGGCACAAAGTGTTGTCACCAACTAGTCATGTCATTGGTCAGCGGTCACATACGATCACCTTCTGAGTATCACTTAGCGCAAGTGCGAATAACTAGTATCAGTTCAAGTGCCCACTGATGAGACACGAAAAAATGGACACTGAGTTAATGTGACACTTGAGCCAGCGCCTTTAACGAGGAAAAATGTTAAAACCATATTCATCGAAACGGAAGAGGTGTGGCCATTGTCACCCTAGCGTACCTGCCGAGTACTGATTCGTGAGGGTAGATTATTAAGCTCGGAGCAAATACTGCACCAGTCATCCTCCCATCAACTATGCGGTCACATCGCCACAAAATCGAACACTACAATCAACGATGACCAACTAATTTTTAAAAGCGCATTTCATTGCTGCAGATGTCCTTTAATATGCAGCGCACGCTAAAAAATATCTCCATGTACACTATGCCGCATTTAGCACATTTCACATTCCCTCAAGCCAACCATCACAATCATCTTGCAATCATCGTGACCGACCTTAGAAATATTTGGATTTGTAATGCATATGCTGAGACACTATGTAATGTGCAAATGCGTCACGCAAAACAATCTTGCTAATTGAGACGTTGAAATGGTTCGCACAGCCCGGATGACTTCGAAGAAAGACGGTGGCAAGTTACGGGTACCACTTAGGCACTTTGTGCCAAAGGCGTCACCACTGGTCGAACGGCTTCAGGGGCTTGTTTCATGACGCGAACTATGAGCTTGCATTTTTTGCGTCATACGAGTACACGAAGCGGAAATAATTAAACTTTCCGTAATTTTTCTATGTTTAATTCACTCATAAATAAGACGAGTGAAAAAGACCGAGTGGCTGTTCGTTTGATTTACACGACGCGAATCAAAAGACTGTAAGTTCGTGTTCCTGTTTTGGAAACTGTGCGCTAGACCCTCACAAGCATTGCTGGGCAGTTGTAGTGCGTCATGTGTACGCCTAGATAGGAAAACGTTCTGTGACCGGTTCCAACCAATGGAAATATTAATGATATAAATACGTCCTGCTAAGTGCAATGAATGCTGTTTGGCGTCCTCTGTTTGGGATGTAACAACAGCCTGGAGACTCTGAAACAAACCCACCTGTATACATGGGGATAGTACGGTGGACCACTCATGTCAGCAACCAGGAGTGCATTAATTTACCTGAAACACAATGAGCCGAATTAAATGCCTGCACTGATCAAGTCGTTGGAGCGCTGCACACATCACCAGATCACCAAAACAACGGAGGAAACACAAGCACCACAGTGTCCAACGGGAGCACGCTTACACTTCTCAGGACTTCTGGTCTGCATAACCTAATCATGCAATTCAGCGGCCGCAGACCAGTAAGTGACGTCTGTAATTAATCATCACGGAAAGTACGATAAGGTATTTCGGCTTACATGGGGAAAACGCGAACATTGCTGACCCCAGACCTTCGGTACACCTTGCGATCTACGCCAAGAGAAGTGTTGGTCTGGCGACAATAGCATACTTCGCAGGCGATGCTAGCCATATTGGTAGTGCATGCGTGTTCGTCGGGGAGTGACTTTAAACTCAGACTTATCATCGACACTTCCGAAACCAGATTATTGTCAACCTTGTTCACATCGCCAGGATGTATGAGGAGTTACAAAAGGGAGGCCGACAACAACCTTCATTCGGAGGCCCACATCACGTGCACGATCTTCCGCTGTCACATCCAGATGTTCTATTTGAAGTTGTCTATTTCCAACCGTAAAAAGGTTTGCTGTGCTGCCGATTCTACCCTGCCCAATGATGCTGCCTGACTGCACTGCACTGCACCACTCTATGAACGTCGTCGACCTCCGATAACAGCCAATTCCAAAATGAATGCCCGATTTACGGACCAAATATGCATTCTGAGAACCGAATGGAACGAGAAAGGCCGCAAACAAGTTATGTATTGGATGCGTCCCAGACCCACACGAAGGAGGAAACCATTGCTCCAGTTTTCAAATGTGGAGCTGCATCGGTGAAATCGGCATGATTTTTTTCGCCTGTCACTGCGACCATCTGGTGGCCAAGACATCATTCTGGAGCAGAATTTCGCACATACATACGTGTTGTTCGGGGCCGGAGTCCGCGCTATGACACATCTGGCACAAGTCGTCGTAATGTAGTTCGGTTTGATTTCATTGCTCTTAGTCCTGACACTCCAGACACAGGTCTCTTGTTGCAATGCATGTGCACAAAAACGCTTCTGAATGACCGCACAATTACCGGGTGGCTGGTAGATATGACCACAATACTGTCCCTTGCAAATGTTTCACCAAAAGAGCAAACAGGCGTTGAGTTCACATTGAAAAATTCGAACACAAGAATATTTTCGACCTCATATTCTGTTCACTCGTTACCACCTAGCAACAAAGACTACATCGGGCTTCAACTTAGAGCAGACAGCAAAAACCCTTATTGAGCCCTGTCAGCGTGCTGGTCTCACCCATGCTCCAAGTACCGACCGATGTGAAAATTAGTCTAACATACCCAATCAATAAAAATTCAGCAACAGGCACTTCCAGAATGAATCAACGCTGAACAGCACTATGCGTGAGGATATGCCCGACATAGCGTAGGTCGAGAAGCTTACATTGCAGAGCAATTGTTTTGACAAGGAACAAGAGACAAAAAATTAACAGCCTACGTCAAACACAACAATAACTCATGATCACTCAGCAAATGAACTTAAACTTACGGAAGATAACTCGCCGCACTCCAAATAGAACAGCCAATACCAAGACGAGCTGAGCAAATGTGTCGTCATTGGGGCATTTCTATCACCCAAACACGAAAAATTCCATGCCCCATGTAGGCAGCAATACTACCTTTGATACTATGTCACTTCCTTAATCACTGCACCGAAAAACACCGCAATATTTCAAGAAACCCTCGCACACTTCCACCGGCACGTCCGCTCGCTGCGAAGTAAACCCAGATGAAACGGCGCAGGGCCGACGAGACGACCCCGCATATTCCTGGCCGCCATTACAAAAGCGCTGTGGGTCGGCTACACAGCTCTGCCGCGGAAGGCACTGCACTGTATTGAACACGCGGCCAGCGGCGCCAAGGCGCAATTTGCTGAGCCGCCGATCTGGGTTGAGAAATGGAGTGCGGGTGTCCAACCTTGGCCGGGCATGTTTGCAGAGTTGGATGACCATTGCAAATAAAAAATAACTAAATTTACTCGAAATGCTGTTCTTGCAAGGATTTACCTAAGCTCGTCCTTTGTTTTAAGTCAACACACTTTCTCTGATGGCAAAGCTCGCCAATTCCAATGGATTTTACTTACACTCGTGATTTCCACCGACGAAATTCTTTGAAAAATTGCAGTCCACCCTACAGCTATCGTAAAAAGATTGCAGTCGAGCGGTGACGCAGCCAGTCGATGATCTCAGGGATCTTGGCTACTGGTGGGCTCGGCCTCAGTGGTGGGTCCCTTTAAGTGAACTTTCCTTACCTTTTCACCGTACTTTTCAGAAGCAGTTATGTCGCGTCCATAAACCTTGCTGCTCTGACCTAGTCGGTCCTAAGCTAAGTGTTGATAATAACACACAAGAGGATCTTTACCTCTGATGCCTCGATTTGTTTTGTGGTAAAAGCGCCGAAAGGCTACGTTGTAAATGCATATACGCCTAGGCGAGTCACAAGAAATCTGTACATCTGACTTTTGCCTTGTCGTTTCGAGGGTGAAGTAAGAACGTCCAATTGTGTTTTTTTCTAACGTCATCGTACGCATCCCAAATGCACATGGTGGCAATATGCAAAGATCCTCTCCCGCGCTCAAAACAGCAGCGTAATGCGAGGTTCAGAGACCTTACTTCATGTAAGAAAGACAGGCGCCGGACATACAGACGCGCGCCTTTTCAGCATTAGAAGTTCGGACGCTGAATTACCGACCCAAATATACCAGTTCGTGCTGGTTTAACGACACGGAAGCAAACATTGGTTAAAGTGATGGTGCTCGACGTTTCAAGTATGCTTATGGTCACGAGTCCTCACTAGTGATCGTGAACACAACTTGAGATGTACAGTACTATCAATACAATCAATGCTGTATTGTTATATAGGTCGTTTAACCGGTACCTCGTGGAATATCGAGGGAGGATAATCCAGCGAAGAGCTCATAATGAAAGAACTCATATCAACTTTAAGAATAAGGAGTTCCTTATGATGACTTGCTTGCTGTCTGCCCTGGATACATCAATTAAAGGGCTGGCGATGATAGTTGTGGTATAAAATATTGGCATTGAGCTTTTTCCTTGTACTTGTGGAGCACAAGAGCGGATATCGTAGATGCACTTACAATTAAAAGTTTTGTCTAGTTAACAGATCTCACCTTAAGGTGGTGAAACGGTGTTACAATTTGCAAGTGGTACGGTTCAATTGGGTATCAGCTGGTCAGACTTCAGAAGTCAGCCTACAAGCCATAAATATATATAGAGAGAGAGAGAGGGAGAGAGAGAGAGAGAGAGAGAGAGAGAGAGAGAGAGAGAGAGAGAGAGAGAGAGAGAGAGAGAGAGAGAGAGAGAGAGAGAGAGAGAGAGAGAGAGAGAGAGAGAGAGAGAGAGAGAGAGAGAAAGTGAGAGAGAAAGAGAGAGAAGATAGATAAATAGATAGATACTATATAATGTGCTGATACGAGCGAAGCAAAGCGAAAACAGCGAGCGAGCGAGCGCGCGAAGAACGAAATCCTAAGACTGCTGAGAATGGACCGCTACTTGGCAGTGCAGATTCTTGTACTGTCCGAGGAGTCTCGTTATGATGAAGTTCATGATAGAGTTCACCTTTGGCAGTTCATGGGCCCCACGGCCCTTCTGATCGAGGTCATTTGACCGCGCCAACGGCTCACAGCAGTCTCCGGGTTGACGCTTGATAATTTTGAGCCATCTGGACGTCATGAACGCCAACTTTCCCGGAATGCCGTGACCCCGTTAGAATCATTGGCCGTTTCGGGAGCCCTGGAAGCCTTTGAGTCGTCAGAAAGTGTGAAGAAATTGTGGCTTTCTTCACGGGATTGGCTCCAGTGGCTGTAATTCCGACCGTCCTCCAAACACCTTTGTTTTGACATGTTGTCAGTCCAGAACGCTACGGAAGGCCGTTAACCGTTCCACAGCCACTAAACGGAGGCTCGTCGGCCTCCTGATCGGCTGGAGAACCGTTTTTGATAAATGTTTCACAATGTAAGACACAATGGCAATGCCGCCCTGAACACGCGCGTCCAAGTGACCCCAAAATCCACAGCCCTGGAAAGGAAGAGGGTTGGGGCGAAAGTCGCCACTCCAGAAGATCCCGAAAGCCGTACCAGCAAAGCACCCCATTCTCAGGATGCGCCTCGGGCTACCAAGCACTATCTTTCGTGCAATTTCATGGCTGTAGGTCAATTGTATTTTGTTTAAATCACTAAAGCATGGTAACATTCGCCAGTTTTCAAGTCAATGCGTGAATTGATCTCATTGGATATGGGCTGTAAGGAAATCAGATGGCTGCAGCATAGCTGATAGGGTTTCCATTCGACCAGAGAGCACAAGCGTTTTACCCCAGGTCGTACCCGCGCTCAGTTTCCTCCATTCTCACGATCGACAGTCATGTCGTTGGTAAACTTCATCAGCAAAAAATAGCTTCCAAAATTTCAACCGATTTTCCATTTGCTCGAAGGAACGATGCGGCGTTGGCGTTCATTTCAGGGCACGCAAAACATCGTATCTGCGCATTCTTCCGCCCAGCCCATGTGTTCAGGAAACTGTGGACGGGCGGATTCGTCCCTGCCCTCCGCCCCTTGCAGCGGGTGTGTTAAGCAGCTCACCTCGTCTAGGGCTGTGTGGCTGCCAGCAAGTTGGTCTGATGCAACGGATTATTGGGTTGGTACTGCATGCTGAGTCATTTGATGCCGTTCTGTGCAATACAATGTGTTTCGACTTAGCATTTCAGAACGTTATGCACACGGCAAGCGTCGCAGCACACAACTCTTCATGAAAACCGCAGCTCCCAAGGTTGTGAGGCGGCTTTGAAAAGTTTTGCAGAGGTCATGAAATCCAACACGAAACCATGGGATCAAATGCAAACCTGAGGCATTTCCGGACAGTGAGAAGGTCCCAAGTTCCGAACCATATCACAGTTACTTCAGTAGTTACAGCTGAAACTCGGGAAGCGGAATTTATCCAAGCAGACGCTTCGAAACGACCGAGCAGGCGTAACACAGCTGGCGCCCTCAGGACAGTAGCACTCCTACAGCTCGCCAGAGCGCTGACAGACCGAGTCGGTCAGGAGCCAGAAAAATCCTAAATCTCATGCCGTATATGGGCTTCCGCTCGAAAAGATTAAAGGGTCTCCGATACAGTCCTAAGCCCCCGCCTCCCGCCGACGAACTTAAAAGAAGACTTAAGTGACTCTAAAGGCATTCAATACCGCGCAGCTACAAGGGAGGCACTGGAGCTAAGGGCGTAAGGCTTTCCTTAAGATGAACTTGCCTGATATCGCTCCAGTAGGCATGCAACGCGGCCTGTGGATTCTGAAATCTAAACCTGAGAAAGTCCAATTTCTGTCATGGTGAAGTGAATTGATACGCTTACAGTGCCTGGGAATAAGTATGCGATTGATAAAAGCGGAACACTGGGGCTGTAGACTTGCATACCAGATGTCAACGATCATGGGAACGAATGGCATTGGTGTTAATACGGTACCGCTATCCGTAACGTCATCGCTTAAGTTCGACCATATTTCAGGGTAATACCATAAGTAAGATACACTCAAGAGAGGAGAGAGAGAGAGAGAGAGAGAGAGAGAGAGAGAGAGAGAGAGAGAAGAGAGAGAGGAGGAGAGAGAGGAGAGAGAGAGAGAGAGAGAGAGAGAAGAGAGAGAGAGAGAGAGAGAGAGATAATATATATATATATTATATATATATATATATATATATATATATATATATATATATATATATATATATATATGAATGTTAATGTATACGGAAATGCCACTACACTTCTGTCTCTCGTAGCGTTAAATCTAAACCCAAATCATGCAAAATCAGTGCAGCGTTTTTGTGGCTTCTTAACTTAGGAGAACATTCAAGTGAATCAGGAAAGCATAAGCGCAACTCACGCATTCAGTTCGAAAAGGATTTTGGATAACCGACAATCCCTTTAGCTAAAGCGATCAATGGCAGAAGCAAAAATTACCAGTCATCCCCGATAATGGCATGGATATTATGCACTATGTAGAGCAAATAATCGGTTTCTGTAAATGTTTTCGTCACATGCACATTTTGGCTGACTGCCGACGAAGAGTTGCCGGAAGGTATGCAACTGTAGCAATGACCTAATATATTTCAGAAATTGGAAGGCTCGCCTCAAGTTCTAACAGGTTTAAAAATAAAACAATGATATGAACACCTGTAATGCCGCTGTGCGCACATAAATTCAAAACACAACAGGCATTCAAAACGATTAGTTGTATTGCGTTGACCCTCTAGTGAACTCGCACATTTCGGTGACCATTTTTTGACATCTGTTGTGATAGTGTGGAGGTGCAGGAGAAAGGGACTGCAGGGAAAAGACGTGGAATGGCGTATAGGGAATACGGATTAGACAGGGTTAAATACAGAATACTGATAGAATGCGAAAAGAAGGATTGACTCTCAAGGGCAAGAAAGATGCGCCACGTGACGCATGTGTCTCCAAAATGTGTCACCGGATGGCTCTTTATACTGCCACTTCTTACCATGAACTAATTTTCTACGAATAGAAACCGCATTGCGCACAAGAACCTCCATGACAGTCGCATGTTTCCACGCGCCTAAACTGTACGCTAATGCCGATATTTCGCGACACCGGCCCGCCAATCAAGTGGATCACCCACTGATCTCTGGGCTCCACCGTCTACATTTTTGTAGCGAGGAAGGGGGAAAGAACCACGAAAGCCGGATGTAGGAAGCATCGTCTAATAAACCACGCCCTGTC